TGGTTCTCTTACCCTCTCTCAGAGTAATTAATTTAACTGTACTAAGAAATCCTTCCTCACAATCAATTAAAATCTCCCTTCCTGTATCTTAATTGATTAATGTTCTATTCTCTAGGTCTAGGATGATTCAGCATAATTATTTATTTGATTTTATTCCTATGCCCTAACCCTTTTCTCTAGGAGCTTTGAAAGGGATGTCCCTTCCTTCTGCCCCCATAACAACCTACCTGTGAGGTAGGTTGGGCTGAGAGAAAAAGACTAGCTCAGAGTTATCCACTGAGTTTTCATAGCTAATTGTGGACTGAGCTTGGATTTTCTCCCAGTTCTATTCCAACACATATAAATCGCTAATGACTGTCTTCTCTCCGATATTCATTCAAATCCTTGAAGAGTATTCTCATATCCTATTCATTGGTTTTTTTCTTCTCAAACCTAAACATTCCCAATTCCTTCAGTCTCTTTCATCAGACATAATTTGTAGCCCCCTGTCATCCTCAAGCCTTAAATTTGTCTGAATCCTCCTCATACTCTTAAATCAGTTTTGACTCATGATGACTGCCTGGACAAGTCCCTGCAGTTTTCTTGGCAAGGATTTTTTTAGAAATGACTTTTTCTTGCCTTGTTCTAGGGCTGAGAGAGTATGACTGGCCCAAGGTCACTCAACTCACTTTGTGCCTAAGACAGGACTAGAATCACAATTTCTTGGTTTCTAGCTTGGTATACTGACCATTACACCAAATTATTTTACCCCCATCCCTTTTTATTTCACCTACAGATCTAATTTAATAAGTATTCTCTCCAAGTCATCCTCAAGTCATCCATAAAGCTATTAAAAAGTATGGAGCCCAGGGCTGAACCTTTAGCACCCCTTCTAGTCTACTGAAGAAAAGTTGAGCTCTCTCTGAGTACAATCTGGAACCATCTGTGCATTAGTATACTAGACAGCCCATGACCCATTGGGTCATCGTTTCCAAGATATTTCCTTATCAGATTCCTCAATGCAGAGCTTCAGATATACTTGAAACATTTTTAAAAATTCAGGGAAATATTTAGAGTTGTATCTGCCTTGAAAGTAGCCCATGATTGTATAGCACAGTCAAGCATCAGGAGCTGAACACGGAAAACATTTCATGATTTCCAAATATCTAATTTATGATAATTTTTACATGCTCACGTGATATAATCAACATGCCTAAAGGATATTGGTTGGATGTGCCAATTGAAGTCGTCATCAGCTTATATCTGGACAAAATGGATAAAAGTTTCCACTTTCGACCGAGTTCTATTTCCCATTTAGTCATCAGCATAAGATCACTGGGTCTATTTTGGGCTACTCATTTCCTCAGCCTGATTTATCTCCCAGGATTATTGTAGGATAAAAAACATTTTAAAAAATCATTCCATTTGCCTGGGTCTTGCCCTTTCATGTTTCAAGCAGCAAGGTCATTGAAGGATTAATGCAGTCAATGCTGACAATCAAAGATGGTTAATACACAACATGAGAGAAGCAATGGAGTGGGAACCTTAAAAAGAGCTTTGTTTATTTGAATCTGTTGACTACAGCTCCCCTGACACATGCTCTAGTGACAGATGGGAAGATAAATTTCAGCCTGCTAAACAAATTACATTATCACATCAGGTATTTCCAGGCTACAGAAAAATGGTCTTCAGGCTTTATTATAAAACTGATTTTGGAGATCATCATCTCTTTGCACTTATGAGCCTTTTGGCACTGAGGAAAATGGTGAGGGATAGATGAGAAGGGTCTTCATACACTGCCTCTGCCTCTCTTTCTCACCTGGCCTGTTGTTAGTTAATCCCTCTGCATTTATGAGACAAAGGAAACTTAATGTTTTTCTTTCTTTCTTTCTCTAACTCCCTCCAAAATTGTCTTCATTCTGCTTATATTCAAGAGCCTGTGTTCCAACAAGAGTCCCTGTTAAATTCAAATAATTATTCTGTTGCTACAAAAATGGTCAACTTGTAAAATTATTTTTTAAAGAAAGAAATATCCTGCTTATAATACATATGATTTACCTAAAATTAGAACACTTAGCATGCAAAGGATTTTTGAAGACTACATATTTGAAGTCTACTCAAGTATGACAAGAATCATTCATCAAGGTTATATGACTCAAAGTTTCAGCAAATAGGTGGCTGGGGAAAACACTTTGCTCATGGCTATTTTTATTTAGCTTCCAATATTTCTCAAAGGAATTGATGTTTCTTATGAAAAGAAAATTATTCTTGAGAGTGAAATGTTCTTATTTACCTGGGCTTGATTTTTTGTTATTTTTTTTAAGGGTTTCTATAAACTCTTATCAAAGAGGAGCTGTTTTAAAACAAGTTGAAAACAAGAATGACATTTTGGCATTGGTATAATGTTGTTAGAGAGTTTTCCAATGTAGGCATGTACTGAGGGAAATCAAGAGATGGCAAGTGACAGAATGTACACTGTGACATCATAGTGCAAACCCTGTAACTTAGAAACTCGTGTTCAGTGTCAAGACATACATTAGGAAAGGGAGGAGTTTGTGTTCTGATGTTGAATGAAGAATTTGTCATTGGGAGCCAACTAGCTCAGCAGTGCTGTCAAATTGAAGCATGTCTCAGGATGACTTTCATGCTATTTACAGTCTGAACAAGTACCACTATTTCCCTTCCTTTCCCTGCATATGACAGCCTGGCATCTAGACACTGAAACTGTTGGCACAACCTTTCCAATCTGTTTGCTCTCATACATGCTGTATTGCAAGTCCAGTCAACTGGTTATGTGGGTGGCAGTTATCGTTCCACATGAGGAGTATCCTGATTTTGAGAAGGTTGAACAGTTTTGGTCACCATGATGTAAAAAAGATGTTGAGCCTCTAGAAAGAGTGCCGAGAACAGCAACAAAGATGATTAGGGAACTGGAAGTTAAAACATATGAAGAACAGTTGCTGGAATTGGGTATGTTCAGTTTAATTTAAAAGAAGGACTAGGGGAGACACGATAGCAGTGTTCCAATATCTCAGGGGCTGCCATAAAGAAGAGAGAATCAATCTATTCTCCAAAGCACCTGAGGGCAGGACAAGAAGCATTGGGTAGAAACTAATCAAGGAGAGAAGCAACCTAGAACTAAGGAGAACATTCTGACAGAACAATTAATCAGTGGAACAATTTGCCTCCAGAAATTGTGGGTGCTCCAACACTGAAAGTCTTTAAGAAAGGATTAGACAACCATTTGTCTGAAATGGTATTGGGTTTCCTGCCTGAGCAAGGGGTTGGATAGAACAGGGGTCGTCAACCTTTTGGACTTCAGAGACCACCAAACTCATAATTTTAAATCCTGGGGACCACTAATATGAATTTTGACTGACGGTGGCTTGCTGACGTTGGTGTGTGTGTGTGAGAGAGAGAGAGAGAAAGAGAAAGAGAGAGAGATCTGATCTAACCCCCCTCCCCCTCTCTTTCTCTTTCATACACACACACACAAACACACAGAGGCAAGGGTGGGATTCAAAATTCTTAACAACCGGTTCTTTGTGGGGTAATTTGTGGGTGTGGCTTGGTGGTCATGTGACTGGCTGGGCTTGTATGTAAGTATTATAAATATTTATGTAAATATGGAATTTTTTATTTAAAAAAGAGCAACTTTTATCCAAAATCAGGCAAAGCAGGCAGGCAGATTGAGTTGCTCATAGAATCACAGATTCACTTAGAGATCTGTTTTCTGCCATCGGCTATCTGAGTCTGCAACTGAATAATAGAACGTTCAGTCTTAAGGGAGGTTTGGCTCTGCTTAAAAGCAGAGCCGAAGATCTAAAGTTTAGCTAGAAAGCAAGAAGTCCAATGATTTCTTGCTTTCTAGCTATTCTAAATCTCCCGGCACAGCAGAACAGCTGATGGTAGGGGGGAAAAAAAGGAAAAATAGGAACTTAGCAGGCAAGTTTGCCAGGTAAGTTTGCCAGGTAAGGAGTGAGTGGACGGGGAGGCCATGGGCCATGTGTTCCTGCGCAGCCTGGATTAGTTGCACTGGGGGGGTGCTCTGGGGGTGACATTTCTGTGCGGACCACCAAAATTTTCCCGCAGGCCACCAGTGGGCCACAGCCCACCAGTTGGTGACCACTGGAATAGAAGATTATCAAGGTCCCTTCCAACTCTATTATTCTAGTATATTTTTTAGTATATTAATGACTAATAACTCTTTGCTTCTTCCATCTTTCCAACAGGTCTGACTGCCTTATTAAAACAATCCGGTCTGAAGGATATTTTGGGATGTACAGAGGTCAGTATTTCGTTTCATGGTCACAAATAATTAATTCCAGAAAGAATTCTTATTGAAAATGTTGCTTTAGCCGTTAAGGCATTTAACTGCTTTATAGCAATTAGTGTTTCTTACCACTGAAATGCGGTGATTTAAAAGGGATTCTAGGTGGCAACCAGGAAAAGATTGCCTATCATGGCTTAATTTTTCAAATGTGAAATAAAGATCAACAGACATTGCTTTATGAATTACAATTCAGGGTTTTTTTTGGTCACGACATAGGTATGAGAAAACTTTATATAACTTACGTACATCAGGCTGGCAATTTGAAATATGGATTTTTTTAAAAGGAAAATGTTAATTCAATTACTTTCATTAATATTAATCACAACTTTAGAAAGCAAATTAACCTGAATATATTATACACATGCCATTTTTTGATAAAATCATTTCATATACCAACTGTGTTTGTTGTTATAAAAATTATTTGTTATTAAAAAAAAATCTGTTGACTTTTAATAATTTGTCCTGTTTCCCACATGTCAATACAGACAATAATTGAGAAACAGCAAATTCCCGAACTTAATTTTTGATGTTAGAAATGCTGGAGGGTTTTTTCTTTTTTTCTGGATAAATTCTTGTGACTTTTTACAACCTCACGAGAAGCTGAAATTTGGTAAATGAATATTTTCTCATCCCTCTGCTTGCCGATCTACTCACCATACATCTGTTAAAACTGGAAAGGTTTTGTAGCAGCAGACATTTGTGTATACAGAGTAGAAGAAATATATTATGCATATTACATTAGCTAATTTACCTTCTGTCTGTCTTGGCACACCTTCATTTAACGGTATATTCTAAGATTAGAGGCACATAGTTTCAGTTCAAACAGCTATAAACCTTGAAGTAATTCCTGTAATGAGAAGGGTGTAGCTACTTTTGGAATATCATTTAGTTTACAGTACTAAAGATTTGCAAGAGTAAACATTTTTATCTGTTTCTCAGAAGAGGTTATGCAGCAAACCAGAGTGCCATAGCTTACTCTGCAGCATTGGGTAGCATAGATAAAGTTACTTTTCAGATTTGATTACATAAATCCGTATCCTGTTTTAATGATCTTTGAAACAATGCTGCAACAGCTCTTTTGTAGCTTCTCAGAAAAGGAAAACAGGGAGTGGCATTAGAAGTACCTGGTAATGTCAAACTTTTTTAACTATTTGGAGGGCTGGTGCATAGAGTGAATACTTATTTTTAATGACACTTGAGTTCAGTTTAATTGTTACTGTCTAGGTTGAGTATCTATGATCAGGGCAGTGAAACAACTAACTGAGAGTAAAAAGTACAGGTTGGCAGCCATTCCAATTTTACAATAGTTCTGAAAAAAGTGACTTACAACCAGTCCTCCCACTTACAACCATCACAGTATCCCCATGGTCATGTGATCACAGCAACAGGCATGTATTTATGACAATTTCGGGATCATTGTGTGATCACCATTTATCACCTTCCCAGTGGGCTTCCAACAAGCAAAGTCAATCAGGGAGGCTGGATTTGCTGATTGACTGCATGATTCACTTAACAACTCCAGCAATTCACTTAACGACTATGGCAAAAAAGGTCATAAAGTCATGCATGGCTCACTGAACAACCACCTTGCCAAGCAACAGAAAGTTTGGTCAAAAGGTTGGTAAATTGAGTACAGATTTGTATTCCACTTACGACCACAATTAAACCTGAAATTGCTGTTGTTAAGTGAGACATTTGTTAAGTGAATTTTGCCCTATTTTACAACCTTTATTGCCACACTTGTTAAGTGAATCACTGCATTGGATAAGGTGGTCACACGCAGGGGTGGGATTCAAATTTTTTAACAACCGGTTCTGTGGGCATGGCTTAGTTGTTGGGTGTGGTTTGGTAGTCATGTTATTGGCTGGGCATGGCCAACTCAATATTACTCACATCGAGGCACGCATCTCTTCGCCTGGCCTCTCATGACTGTGGGGATGCTGCAACAGTTGTAAGTGTGAAAAATGGTCATAAGTCACTTTTTTCAGTGCCATTGTAACTTTGAATGGTCACTCCACACAAGTAAAGTATCAGCGAAGGAGGAAAAAAAACTCCAGAGAAGTTCCTGAGACAGGAAGTCTAGTCCTGCCAATAATGTAATAAGGGTTAATGGAGAGGCAGTTTCTGTAAGCAACACCAGAATGTTTCCTTCCTGCCTTCCTTACAGGATTAGGCCAGTAATTCCTTCTAACAACCGGTTCTCCGAGCTGCTTAGAATGTTAACAACCGGTTCTAGCGAATAGGTGAGAACTGGTAGAATCCCACCCCTGGTCACACGGTTGTAAAGTGAATCTGGCTTCCCCTTAATTTTTGTTTGTCAAAAGGTGATCACATGACACAGCAATGATCATAAGCATGAACCAGTTGCCAAGCACCTGAACTTTGATCACATGACCATGGGGATGTTACAAAGGTCATAAGTGTGAAAAATGGTCTTAAGTCACTTTTTTCAGTCCTGTTGTAACTTTGAACAGTAACTAAATGAACTGTTGTAAGTGGAGGACTACAACAGTGGTGGGATTCACCACGGTACAGCAGTGGTGGGATTCAAAAAAATTTATTACTGGTTCTGTAGGCGTGGCTTGGTGGGTGTAGTGTAGCTTGGTGGACGTGGCAGGGGAAGCATACTGTAAAATCCCCATTCCCTCCCCATCCCACTAACCTGCTTTCCAGCTCAGTTCTCCTGTGCAGGGCAACAAAAGAAGACCCAGCCAATCAGCTGGGACTCGGGAGCCAGAGAATAGATGGGGGGTGGGGCCAGTCAGAGGTGGTATTTGCCGGTTCTCCAAACTACTCAAAATTTCCGCTACCGATTCTCCAGAACTGGTCAGAACCTGCTGAATGCCACCTCTGCTATACAAGCTCACTGAAATACAAACAAGAAGGCTTGAATGGGGCCTTCTCTTGTAAGTGTGGGAAATCCAGAAAAGTAAAAACTGAAAACTTCCTGCCTTGTTAGAAAAAGCTAGATTCCTTTGCAGCCTCTTATGCATCTTCCTAATGCTATTTCTGAATAGCAGTTCAGAGACTGGCAGGTCATCTGTTTGAACCAGCTTGTGAATAATAATTGCATGAAATTTCCCACCAGCTTGTTCAGCTTCTTCTTCTTTTGGATTGGGAACCAGCCAAAGAGCTGTCTTTGCCAAGTTGTTTCCATAGCACAGAACTGCTGCAAAGCAGACCGTGCAAGACAGACAGCCGTCTTACTAAGAATAACCTCCTCCTCATCCCTGGATTTGTAGCAGAACGGGTAAACCATTTCTAGCTACTGGAAACAAAGTGAAATTTTCTTCCATTCAGTACACATTATTGATCTACTTTGTGCTCTCCCAAAGTGCCACCCAGGGATTTGCAGCATAAGACAGCCAACGCCAGACCATTTTGATATAAAGGGGACGCTAGGTTTGTTTAGGATTTTCATTTTGTTTTGTTTTTTTACCTTGAAAAATGCAAATAGAGGCAAAAATTGGCACAAACTTGTCCTCTTCCCACACATAGATGTTGCAAACTATGTAAACTAGGAAATTGCATACTTGCCTGACCATACGGGCTTGGGAATCAAAACACCAGCCCTTGTTCACTCTTGAGGCAGATTGTTATTTTTATCCCCACTCCTTCCTCTAAAGCAACATTGGTCTACACTCATTACGGAAGACTAGCTTTAATGCCAGTTCGCTGTTGATAAATGGCATTTGTGGCACAATGGTTAGAATGCAGTAATGCAGGCTAATTCTGCTGACTGCCAGCAGTTCAATTCTGACCAGCTCAAAATTGACTCAGCCTTCCATCCTTCCGAGATTAGTAAAATGAGGACCCAGATTGTTGGGGGCAATATGCTGACTCTATAAACTGCTTAGAGAGGGCTGTAAAAATCACAGTGAAGCGGTATATAAGTAAGTGTGATTACTATTGCTGGGACAGTTAAGTTCATTCATACTTAAACCTTGAACTGTCTAAATTTGTAGGCAAAGATTTTAAAAACTTTTGTCTAATGGCCTGCACTTTCTCTTGAGGGTTATCCTTGGTGATCTTAGCTTAATGGTGGAAATGGAGGAATCAGAATCACTATAATATAATGATTTGCCACTAGTTGGCAACCTCTGGGGCATCTTTAACATTTCTAACAACTTGTACTTTAATCTTTATCCCACTAAACAGTTCTGTATTCTAGTAATGACTTAATTTTTGATAGAAACTGATGTTGCTGAAACAACAAAAATCCCATAAAGTAAGAAGCTTGTGGTATTTATGTATGCATGAATGTATATATGTATGTATGTATGTATTTATTTATCAAGTCTATATAGCTACCCATCTTTCAAAAAATGACACTGGGAAGCATACAAATGGCATTAAGTACAGGAGCATGCAGGTTTTTAGATTATGCAGACCGCTTCATAATTGGTTGTTAAAGTGTACTAACCATCAGTTGAATTTTCCTTGGGTTGTCTCAGTAATAGAGGCAAAACAGTGCTTCATGGTCCTGTTGTATATGCCAGAAAGATTATGTAATCATTATTTATTTTAATTAGAAGCATTAGCATGGGCTTGTTGGGGAAGGAGAAGGACTAGTAAAAGAATGAATGTTGCATGTAGTTCTTAGTTGTATAGCCAATTTGTCAACAGAAGCAGCAGTGTCTTTCTAAATCACAATTGCGTTAGAGACAACAGTTGCTTTGCGGACTGCCAGCTTCCCATTTAGTTATTACGGCCCTTTGTGAAATAGTTGGATAGAGCAGATGAAAGATTAAAATGTTCCAAAGACAAAGAAGACTTGGCAGATGCTGGACTCTCTTCTCTGAGTGATTTCAATAAAGTGGGTCACCCTAGCATTAGTAATCCCCTTTCCTTTGTCCTCCCTAAGCCAGGCACAGCTTGGGCTGTTTCTGCAGCCCCGGGATTTGTTTTTAGTTTCTCTATATACAATAGAGTTCCTCTTTCCCATATCCCTGTCAAAGGCTGTCTACATGCCAGGGAGCAGAACTGGCTGAAAGTGGCGCTCTGGTGTGTTTTCCTGCAAAGAGAATTTCCCCTGAACAAGATTTCACTCAGAACAAACAGGTGTCAGGCATTTTCCTGCATTGACAGGAAAATGTTACTGATAAATATGAATATTTAGGTAGAGTTTCCTGAGGAATAAAAATATGTGAGCCTTAATATGCATGATTTTGGCAGTCCCTAAAACTCCTTTTTAAAGGAGGACCCAAGCGTTATTTGGAAGAGAGGACTGAAGTTGTTTGAAGTGGCTTGCTTAGGGCACTGAACAAATACATAATAAATAAAATTTGAAGTAGTTTTTCCAGTTTGTACTCATCTCTTTTAAGGAGATTGGAGGAATCTACCATTAATGTGCATGGATTGTGGACTGAGTTAAAATGTTTTGAAAGGAATACAGTAACAACTCCTTTTAACATGTGGTGACAAAGCTGACCTATTTTGTATATTCAAACAAACAAACAAAAACAGAGCCAAGATAAATGTTTCTGGAATGCTCACTGGTTATTTCTGGCTTTACCTAATGAAGAACGGGGGGGGGGGGGGGGGGGGTGTTTGCCAGTGAATTTTGCAACATAATTGGATTCTAAATTGCAAAGCTTGACTTTGGACTGCATGTCTTGAAAAGGTGTATATATTTTTCAATGCAGTGACTTCACTGTGTGCAGGTTCAACCCAAACCTGTAAATATGTCCTAATACATGAATAAAAACCCTGGGTCCCTTTACATTCATTCACTCATTATATATAAAATATGTATATGTATATATGTATATAAATAAATAAATAAAAATTTTCCTGTAGCTTCCATCTTCAGGGCTAGTGGGAAGGGATATGTGAATTGTCATTCAGCCATATTGGGGGATTGTTCCAGTTAGATGTAATGCAAATATCAGTTTATATTTCTACAGTTGAAGCTATGGCGCTGGGGACAACAGTCCTACATTGTCCAAGGATTAACCATCAGCTGTTGGGAAAGATTTGTACTTTCTCTTTAAAAAAGATGCTAACAAAATTCCTCTGCAGTTTAGCTGTCTTCAAGTATATGAATGTACAACTGTCTTTATGTAGCACAGTTATGACACAATATAAGAAAGAAGATAAATGGCAGCACTATTGTCTCTAATTGCTGGCTGCCAATCATAACATGCCTTTTCCTGTATGTAGATACCACGCCTAGGACTCACTTTTTGTTTTGAGCACAATTCATTGTCACCATGCAAAGATGATTTAAAATCCCTCAAATCACAAAGCTCTGCGTTCTCTTCTTTTTCTTGTCCAGGGGCTGCAGTGAATCTAACACTTGTGACTCCAGAAAAAGCCATCAAGTTAGCTGCCAATGATTTCTTTAGGTACCATTTTGCCAAAGATGGGTAAGTGAAGTGTGGGCGGTATGCACATAATGATTTCCAACAAAAATGAGAAGATTAAACTGGGATTTGTCACTATTACTCCATCGTGTATTTTTCCCGATTATAGTTCACAGAACAGTTAAGCATAAGTATCTGTTGATTTTGCTCCTGTAAAGTTCAGCTGCTTTATTGTGCCCACAATATAGAAATGGATACATCCCAACTCCGGAACAGGCAATTTTTATATTTTTGGGAGTAGGACAAACTATCAGCTTTTGACATGCCCTATTTGGTACACTATCAAAATACGACATCCTCCTTATTCCAGGGCAGGAATGGTTGCTATTTATTGCTTTGGTGTTCTAAAAGTAAATCAAGGCTAATTTCTTGTATGATTGTTGATGCATCTTATTATAGCTTAATAAAATTCCAACTTCTATATTAAGACAATATTTTTAATACATAGATAATGTGAAAAAAATGCAGTTTTCTAGTTCACCAAAACACTTTAAGCAGTATAGCCAGACAACAAATCCAGCTTGGAAGCTATGGAAACTTCACATTGTCATAATTTTATGGAAAAATATGGGATTAGATTCAGGTATCTAAATTATTGACTAACTGCAGAAAACACACTTTTCCTAGAACTGTTTTCTTTTTAGAAATACTACAGAAGAAATAGAAATAGAGAAAGAAAGGAATAGAAGAAAATAATACAGACTTTTATAGTATTTAAATGTAGATGTGGAGTTTATAATCACAAGATAATTGTTATCATAAAAGAGAAATCTTTTCTTGGGCAATGAAATAATTATATTTGGTTGATATTTGAATAACATTGCCTCTAGTTATTTAACTCCACCTACTAGAAATATAATTTTTGAAATCTTTTGGGGAATTCAAAAGCTTTCTCGATTTTATGACTTTTTATGCCAAGTAAATAAATTAAAATACAAATGCACACTTTTTTTTTGTTTTCTTAGAAATAATAGTTGGGGGCAGGGTTTAACTCTTCTTCATACACCATGCAGTATTTTAAATATCTCCCCTCCAGTAGTTGCTTCCTGGAACACTGAATGTGAATCCATAGGTGTGAAGCTTTACTATCTTTGAATGAAGAGAAATTGTGAAGCAATATGTTGACACAGAAGCCTTTGCAGTAATGAAGGCTGGACCAGAAATAGTGCTTTAATTTGGGATGAAGCTGTTTGATGTGGGGCTTCGCCGTGTCTTCACTAAGCCTGCTAGATACATTCTTTACTCCTTCCTCAGGTCACCTAAAGATATGAAATGTTCTGTTTGTAATCATGCCATCTGAATTTTAACGGTCAATGTAGAAAATGAATATTATTTCCCTGCAGAAGAGGGGGGGGGCTGGCAGCTTGAATAAATATTACCAGTTTAATCATGCAAAGATTCAGGGCCTCTTTTCACCTAAAATACTGATAACTATAAAGCAGGCATAGGATTTTTCTTTTTTTCAGACAGTTACATAAGTAACGTCAGGATTTTTGTTTGTTTAATCAGACAAACTTAAGCTGGGATTATTAAATTCTGCTTTCATACGTTCCCTATGTGCATTCTAAATTATGACTCTGTGAGTTGACCTTGGTTACAGCCCCTGTATTTTTGATAATCTAAAACTTCTTAGGATGTGATGGGCCTCAGAGTCATATTCCTTGTGGAATGCATGGAAATGCATTTCTTGAAACACATAATTGGCATGTTATGGCTGTTAAACGATTTGTTGATAATAGCAGGACCAGATTAGTAGAACTGGTTTTACCTGCTTTAGACATCTGGTCCCAAAGACAATTTTGTAGCATCATACCGTAGATATATTTGTCTTAGAAGTAACAATAAAACCAATAGAATGGAATTGGTTCTGATGTCAGCCTTAAGTGAATGCACATTCGCACGTCCCTCAATATAGTAAAAATATAAATGCATGTGCTGCTTTTGCAAATAAGTGATTGCAAAGATAGCAAAAAAAAAAAATATAGCTGGTACTTGAGCTGGAATTTTAAGTAATTTGATTCAGCACTGTAGCACATGTCTGTTTTTAAGAATACAGACCTATGTTTTTCCATTCCAAGACCATATAGAATTGCTTCAAGTGCACATCATGTTATTGTTGGTGTCTGCATTTTAGCACCCTCAGTGCACCAGTTGGAAAAGCATGGAAGAAGGTGGGAGGTTTTTCTGTATTCCCTGGGGAATCTTGCCTTATGTCCCTGGGGCTCTGTTCAGAGAGGGGAGGGATGATGATCAGCACACAGCATCGTGAAGGGTGGTGGAGTGGAAGGCCTGCTGGTAGGGTCTCCATAGTCCACAAAGTGAGTGGAATGTCTGCTAGAACCAGTGTCAAGAAAGTTAACTGGTTAATGATTAACCTGCTTAAGCATGTTGTGCAAACAGTGCCATAATGATAACAATACAATTGGAGAGATACCTCTTAGGCTTTTATGCCTAGGTATTCCCTGACCATAATTAATCTCTTTATTTGTCTGCATACTGTGCACTGTAATGTATGCGCTGCGTTAATTTTCAAACTTGCTGATTGTTGCTATGAGAACTATTACCCTGTTAATTGTTTTTAAACTATATCCCCACTTACATTTTATCTGTCTCCCAAGCACTGTGACCTAAAAGATCTGAGTAAAAGTGTAACAAATCAGGGGCCATCCTAAGTGGGAACATTCAGTTGCCATTGGGGATAAAGTTAAGTCCGGTAAACTGAGACCTAACCATGTCCTTATCTAGATAATTTTCATTATATAGGTTATATTTTTTTCCTTTTAGAATTTATTGGAAATCCCCATTAAGCCATCCACAATATTTGCCTAAATATCCTTAATACAGGGAAGCATTTCTCTGAATAATTGGTTCTGTCAACCATATTACCATATGCTAATGGTAAAATTAGCCTGTAGTAAGATGTTAGAAGAAGTTGTTTGATTATTGTTTAATTTCCATTCCCATAGCAGCCTTCAACAAAATATGCTGTGTACCTCCAATCCCTCTAACAGATGTGACCCAGTTCAAGGTGTTAGTGTGCTATATTTTATACCAAATAATAATGGACTTCACAAGGCCAAAGTGGAATGGTCAAGACCTCTGAAAGGCACAAATCCTCCCAAGCACTGTGAAACTTGCATCTAAATAAATATTTATAGGACTTTATAGTCAGCAAAATATGTACTTGCAAGGGTCTGAAAATAGTATCTAGCATTGTACTGCATAATTTCTACAGGCGATTTTGGAGCATATGTATACTAACTATCATTTGGTCCCATTGGGTACTGTGACTCAGAAATTGCTAGTAAAAAACAATATTTTTGTAAATGTTTTCAAACATTTAAAAATGTTCTGACTATAATCTTTGTTTAGTGACTGCCTCATTTAGTGACTGTTTGCTATTATGACAGTGATCAAAAAGTAAGTTTACGAGCAAGTCTTGCACTTGTGACCTTTGCAGGTCTGTAAAGCAAAGGAAAGCTGAAGTAAGATGGAAAGCACAGATGTGGTTTCAGTTAGCAACCACTTCACTTAATGACCAAGTTTCTGGTCCAGTTGTGGTCACTAAACGAGAACTGTCTGTATTACTTTTTCCAAAGGAACTTTATCTTCATTAATATTGACTCCTTCCTGTGGTGCAATATAATCTTATTCTTTTTATCTTGACCTTCACATTGCTGTTTAGGATTGGCCAAATATGTTTGCTGAGCTTTGTTTTTTTCCCTTCCTATCTATTAAGCATGGTTGCATTAACTGTTTCTTTATGCATCCTATCCTAATCAGCAGGGAAACTGATATCTCCTTTTTATGTTTCTTGTAAGTGATACTGTTTTGCTTTAACAAACAAAAATGAGAGAGAACTTGTGCTTACAATGCCTGATTTCTCTATGGCATAGCATCCAAGAAGTATCTTCATCAATTCACTTTCTAGTAAAGAGATATTCTTTGATTGGCTAGCCACGTTGTAACAACCATTCTGCTGAAGTACCCATGTTTTCAAAAAAACTAACTCTAGCCACTACCACCCCATCCCCATATTCAAAGTTCATTTTACTAGGTTGTAAAAGCAGCTTAGATTAATTCTGCTGGAAGGGTAATAGCCCAATGGAATGGAGAAAATTCTGAAGATCAACCTTTTCTTTACTCATCACTTTAAAAGCCTAGAACAGGAGTGTCAAACTCACAGCATGGTGGCGTCACGTGACGTATCAGGACTTTCCCCCCCTTTGTTAAACCAGGTGTGGGCATGGCCAGGGTGTGACGCATCCAGCTCATAGGCCAGGAGTTTGACAGCCCTGGCCTAGAATATACTAGTTTTACTGAGAGAGAATTTTTTTTTTCTAACTTTATATTATTCTTGGGAAATCGTTTCAATTCAATTGATCCAATTAATCCTGAATGTTTGATTTGTTTGTTTTAAGCGCAGCTGTAATTACATTCACGGGGTGGTTGTTGTTTTTTTCTAAATATGGTATGATCTTTTTTTAAGGGTCTACCATTGGTCTTCCGTTTACTTACTAACTCAAGACTGTTAAATTGTAAAGGCTTATTTAAGGGATTTTTGATTAATGAATGATGCATTTTTGAGTACCTGTAGTGGAAAAGTGGATTATAAATGATGATTGAGATGATAAAATTAATGATTATACTGTAAAAAATCGATAATTTTTACTTATCCAGCATTCTTTAGAACAGTATTTTTCAAAGCAGCATCCATCAGACTGCAGCTTCCAGAATGACTTTGGCCTAGCCCTAGCTAATTAGTAATGCTGGGAATTGCTTTTCCAACATCTGGAGAGTTTTTCCAAATTAGCCTTCCACTAATCAGGAGAAGCTCAGCATTTTACCAAAAATAGATATCACAAGCAGGCTGTGACCTAATTTCTGCCCATCCTGATCCAGAAACTTAATATTATTTCAGTCATGTTTCAGTGAAAAATGTGGGGAAAAGTTTGGGAGGCAAGTGATAAACTAACTTCATTTTTTAAAATAGCGTAGCTCATCATAAAAGGAGTAAAAGTATTTTTAAAGTAGCTAGTGCCCACTTCTCAGTTTTTGAGCACGCAAAAATAATTTTCAATAGATATTCAAAGGAAAATCTAAACCTATGAGGGAGTTAAGAGTCATTTTGTGAGAAAAAACTAATACAGAAAACTAGTCTCTTAGAGAATTGATTCCCTGACGGATTCTATTCAAGGAGGGAATTGATTGCTTTAATGGTTTAAAAAGGATGTTGCCAACTTTGTTTTCTTTTTGTACCCATGTGACTTGGGTACAGTGAAAATTCCTTCCTATATTCTCAAAGGAGAAATCTATATTTAGTTATTTGATCATCTCTGCTGTGGTCTTACAACTATAATCTCCTCAGATGAGAGAACTCCGCACCTAAGCAGCAATCATGCAGACTGAGGAACTGGCTGCATGTGATTGCCTGAAGCTATTTTTTTTGAGCCGGAGACGAAACTTTATTATTTATTTATTTTATTTATTTGATTTGCCAATTGTTTACAAGATAATAAGTATAAGTGTATACATAGTTGTGAATACATGAAATGGGTACATATAAGAAAAATAAAAGAAGAATAAGAAACAATAGGACAGGGACGGTAGGCACGTTGGTGCGCTTATGCACGCCCCTTACAGACCTCTTAGGAAAGGGATGAGGTCAATAGTAGACAGTCTAAGGTTAAAGTTTTTGGGGTTTGGGGAAGAAACTACAGAGTCGGGTAGAGTATTCCAGACATTGACCACTCTATTGCTGAAGTCGTATTTCCTGCAATCAAGTTTGGTGCGGTTAACTTTGAGTTTGTATCTATTGTGTGCTCTTGTGTTGTTATGGTTGAAGCTGAAGTATTCATTGACAGGTAGGACATTGCAATGTATGATTTTATATACCATGCTTAAATCAGACCGAAGACGGCGTAATTCAAGGTTTTCTAGTTCTAGAATTTCAAGTCTGGTGGCATAAGGTATTCTACAACGAGTAGAGGAGTAGAGAACTCTTCTTGTGAAATATTTCTGGACTTTCTCAATTGTGCTAATATCAGATATGTAATGTGGGTTCCAGACTGATGAACTGTATTCGAGTATTGGTCTAGCAAATGTTTTGTATGCTCTGGTTAGTAGTGTGATATTACCAGAGAAAAAGCTACGTAGGATTAGGTTAACAACTCTTAATGCCTTTTTGGCTATGTAGTTGCAGTGGGCTCTAGCACTTAGATCATTAGAGGTGAGTATTCCAAGGTCCTTTACAGAGCTTGGGTCATCAACAAGATCTTGACTATTCAGCTTGTATTTTATTTTCTGATTTTTTTTGCCAATATGTAAGACAGAGTATTTATTTGTTGAGATTTGAAGTTGCCATTTGTTTGACCATTCTGATACATAGTCAAGATCTTTTTGTAGGGTAGCAGTATTGTCTGTGGTATTGAACAGCTTTACATCATCAGCGAAAAGAACGCAATTGCTCTTAATATGATCACAGAGGTCATTTATGTAGAGTATGAAGAGAGTTGGTCCTAGAACACTGCCTTGGGGGACACCACTATTGACAGGTACAGAATTTGATAGGACGCTCCCAATTTTGACCATTTGTTGTCTGTTTGCCAGGAATGCTTCTATCCAGTTATTCAGTTGTCCAGAGATACCATAGGATTTTATTTTTAGGAGTAGTTTGTCGTGAACCACTGAATCAAAGGCTTTATAGAAGTCTATGTAGATTGCGTCTATTGCTTTGCCCTGGTCGAGTTGTGTCGTCCATATGTTTTTGCAGTGTAAGAGTTGCAGATTACAGGATAGTTTTTTTCTGAAACCAAATTGTTTATTGGAGAGTAGGTTGTTTGTCTCTAAGTGGAGGATGATGGATTGGTTAATAATTGATTCCATGACTTTACAGGTGACGCAGCATAAGGAGATTGGTCTGTAATTTTCAACTAGGCTTGGGTCTCCCTTTTTGAAGATGGGGATGACTGTGGCTTGTGACCATAGGTTAGGCAAGGAGCTGGTCCTGAAAGATTTTTCAAAGATTATGCTTAGAGTTTTGGCTATGGCAGTGGATAGCTTTTTTAAGAAGTAGGCACATATTCCATCCGGTCCAATAGATAGAGATGGTTTTAGATTGCGTAGTGCTTTTTCAACATTGTCTTCTGTAAAATCGATATGTATTAGATCATTGTTGTTATCTGTGGTACGGCTAGGAAATACTGGGCATGATCCGTTGCTGTTTACAAATACTGAGCCGAAGAATGTGTTAAAGAGGTTGGCTTTAATGGTGTCGTCGTTGCAGTCTTTACCATCAGGTCCTATCAAGGGTGGGATGGACCTTGAGTCTTTTAGTTTGTTGTTTACAAAATTGTAAAAAGCACGGGTGGAATTGGTGCTTAGAAGGTTTTCCTCTTGTTTAATGTGATAATTGGTGCATTCGGTCTTTATCTGGTGGCATAAATTTTTGTATCGGCTTTTGAAATAGGCAATGTGACCAGATTTGTTTTTCCGCCAGAGTGATCTCTTTTTGGATTGAAGTTTCCTTATTGTTATGGGTAATCTGCTTTTTTGTTTTGTTTTGGGAGTTGTTGTTGGTACATATAGTTTGATGACTCTTTTGACTTCAAGTAAAAATATGTTGTAATAGTCTTCAACAGTATTGCATCCAGTGAATAGAGATTGCCAATCAAGGGATGAGAGATCGTTGTCTATAAGATCATAGTTGCCTTTTTTGAAGTTACAATTGGGGATTACATCATTGTGGTGATTTTTGTGTGGACAAAAGTCAATCATATTGTGGTCACTGCTTGAAGCAGTGGCAGTCCCTCTAGGTAAAGGGATGAATGTTATGCTACTCCGGGCTTCCCACAGAGGGAAGGTTTTGATGGATCACAGATGCTAAGCTTCAGCTATGTGGTGTTGGCTTTGAAGACATAACTGGGCAATGTACCACCTCATTTCCAGCTCTAGCTCTTGGCTGGTGGCCAAGATCTTTGGCTGCTCTGAATTCTCCGAGAAGTGACAAATTAACCGTAGTGCCAGAAATAGGCCAGCCTGTGCATTTAGAAAGAGGGTTCCACTCTAGATCTCTGTGTGATTTATGCTAGGTTTACTTAAAGTATGTTTTCCTGATCCTCTTTATTCAGTGTAACTAAAGTGATTTAATGGTCTCCTCTCATCATGTACAGTAACAGATATATGTAACAGATATATTAAAAATGCAAAAGAATGAGTCCTTATTAAAACGTGGAAGCATTGTTTCAGATCATTCTTTCTGATTAGGCTGGTCATTGGTCATGGATGCCTAGTCAAAAGTCCCTTAAAAAAACACCATATACACATAGTAAAATGCTTTAGATCATGGAGTTAAATATTGTATTGAAAAGAAGAAAACAGAAAATCTCTGGGTTCTACTAGGAGGCATGAGCATGGGAGGGCTTTGTTTTTTAATTAGGTAGCATATTCTTTTAATTCTTTTAATTGAAGATAACCTCTTGATGACTGGAATGTGATGGGATTTCAGCCTGTTCTGTTCCCAACACTGTGAACTGCTCTGCTTTTGCCTAGTGTTACAGGCTAAGAGTTTCAGATTTGATCACTTATATTATGCTAAATTATCAGAAGTATGTGAAACTTTCTATTTGTTTGCAGCCAGTAGTAGAAAACAAATAGTTAAATATTTCATTCATTTAATCCCCATGTATTTAATAATTTTTCTTTTCTCCCATGAAAACCATGCAATATGGTGGCAAATTTTATCAGCACTTTTGGAGTTATCTGTGAGGCCTTTGAGATTACGAACTTCTACAACAGCAGATTGTAGTATGATGGAAAGGGCTAAAGCCCAAAGCCAATATGCCTCAGGGCTAAAGGGACAACCCATGATGCAGTTGCTTTTCTCCTTCATCCCCCTTATAGTGTCCTCTTTGAAAGTTACTTCTTTCTCAAAGTGTTGCCTGACTAAGAAGACTAAATTCCTTTCCTGTTATCCTCCTTTGCTCTGATGGTAATGATACTCCTGTGGCTACAGTCTCCTGTTACATTTTGATTTTGCAGTGTCATCAGGTGATGACAGCTGTATGTGGTATTATGATTTGCATTACACTTCTGCAGAGCCAAAATACTGTTAGAGAGAGATTTACTGCCTAGCACTGCAGTGGCTTTATTTCCAAAACAGGATTCTTGTCAACCTCTTAGAGAGACATCTAGCTTTACAGATTAACATAACTAATTCCCCCGGAATTTTTTCCTTGCCTCCAATGTTTGTAGTGTATTTGTTTGTGTGTCCAGTGTTTTGCCAAAAGGTGCATTTGGATAAATCTGGCTGTAGTTTTTGTTTTAAAACAAGGAACATAGAAATTGTCTTTGAAGAAAAGCAAGGACAGTATATATTTCATTTTTCCGAGTGCTGTCTTTGTTTATTAAAAAAAGGTATTTCAAAATTGTGCTGCAGTGCTGTGTTATTGAGTCTTCAGATTTTATATGCCATTGCATTCATGATCAAGAAGACCAAAACTGGACAGGTTTATTTATGACTCTCATTCCATACAGGTTGTCATTTGATTCCTTAGCAGTAAAACTGGGCATTTGAGTGAAAGGACAAAATTTGTTGTTGCTGTTGCTGCTTGAAATCAGATTATGCTAGGTGGCTGGATTGTCTAGCTAATTTTCTGTGTGCTTGTTTCTTTTTTCCCTGTCTTTTTTCCAGGGGCAAGTTGACGCTGCCTAAAGAGATGCTGGCCGGTTGTGGGGCAGGGACCTGCCAGGTGATTGTCACTACTCCCATGGAGATGCTCAAAATCCAGCTGCAAGATGCAGGCCGAATTGGTACCTTATCTCTCTCTCTCTCTTTTACTTATAGTGCTCATATAATAACAGAAAATGCACCCAATGATTCCTAATGATTGGAGAAAGCTAACAGTGAGCTACTTCATGGGTAGAGGGAGTTGAGGCAAGCTATCCTAATGTAAGATTTTACAAAGAGAAAGATGCAGCTTTCCCAAACCATCCATCTTAGGCACAGAGTTAGACTAACATTTCTATTATGTCCTGAAAATGGTCAGGAGTCACAGAGATAACAGGAAGGCGTCTATAAAACAATGACAGGATGCCAGATTGGGAATATTGAATTATTGTTACTCTTTTTTCACTCATTGCAGTTTAAAAAGTCTCAACAGGTTACAATCACAATGTTATTAAAACATCCATTGTGCTGTCCAGCCAGTGTATGGGAATTGGATAGTTAGTTAGCAATTGTTAAGGGAATGCATCCTGGTAAATGTAGTTAAGGTATCCTGGGAAATGTAGTCCATATCACGTGACCACATCTGTAATCCTGATTGGTCATTAATTGACCCTCGATGGGTTGGGGGAGGTTTCCTCGCTCTTGCCTGAACTCACGGACCCGTGGTAACTGTTCTACTTCTACCGCTACGAGATGGGAGAAAAGGGATAGGAGATAACCATCTTTTTACCTAAAAGATAGATATGCAAAGGATTGGTCATTAAAGAAGAACTTTGTCACAAATGTGAGTTATGAGGATATTTGATGAACCAATAATAAAGACTTTGTATGTATGTTTTATTGAGTTTATCTATCTGCATCTGTACAGAAGACAAAATCTACCACTGTACAGAATACAGAACAGTAAAAAGATGATTAATTTGAAGTCCTGAAGCCCATCAGTATAAAAACAGTTAATTTGGATTTGTGATAAAGCAAAATAATATTGAAGCCAGGAGTGAATATGCAATGCTAATCTAAACCTGAATTCTCATTGTCTCTCTCTGTGTGCAACGGAACCCTTTACACGCTATTTGGATGGTGGGAGGGGCTGGAATTCCCCCACATGCTAGAGACAAAGAGAGCTCTTTCTGAGCCACAGAGTTGCAAAACCAGTTTGAATTACAGGAAACCCCCCCCCCTCCTCTGCTCCATTTGTCTTTCTGCTATCTCAGAGACTCCATTTGCATAACAAGGAGAGTCAGAGATTCCCCAGCTCTCAAAGGAAAATCAAACCTCTGTCTTGAAACCTTCTACAAATGCAGTGAGAGAGTCTGAGAAGTCATGCCTGTGTGCTTATAGGTAAAACGAAAGCTGATCTTCCTCTGCTCATCTGGAAGGGAGGAAAAGCAATAAAAAGAGGCCCTCTCCAGCCTGTTTACAAGTAACAGGGTCATAAAAATCCTCCTGCCAGAGCCGTCTCCAGAGCAGTGGGCACATTCCTCCCCCCTGAGGAGAGACACTTAATCTAGCAATGATTTAAACAAAGTCAGCATCTTGCATTTTGCTCCCCTGCTGAAGTCAATAAGGATTTTTCCTTTAACAAAATTAGTAGCAATCTAAAAGCAACATACTAAAGCATTGTGTCTATGTAATAACCTTTCCTTCCAGCCTCAATTGCCATTCAACTGCTAGCCTCTAGCTCCATCTGGTGGTCAAGTAGGAAATTCCAAAAAAAAACCCTTCTTCCCACTTTAACCCAAATGGTTAAGCATTACTAAGAGACTTAATCTATGCTTAGCAACAGTGTCTTCCAGACCTAGCAAGTAACATCCATGGTACAATTACATGCCTACATAAATGATCCCCAAAAGATTAAAATCATTAACATAAAGATATAAACAGCTAATAAATAGCAATAAATATAAGAAATGGATGCTTATATTAAGAGTCAAAAGGTTTCTTAAATGGCCCCTTTTTAATAGCTGAATTCAGTAATAAAGTTTAGGAACAAATTTGGAGTCTGACAATTTAGAGCTGTGATAACATCAGTTCCTCCCCTTTGTTTATGGAGAAGTCTTTTCTCTTTTTTGTCCAGACATGGGTGATCTACCTCATGTATAGAACCCTTTTTTAATGAAACAGGATCTTTTAAATATTTAAATAGTGGAGAAAAGACAGGAAAATAATAGCTTTCTTCTGGTGATAAATTATTAAACTGGAAAACTAACGCAAGGAAGAGATTTAGTCACTCTTGATGCTTTTATTCATCTTTTTTCTCTTTTCCCCACTTGTAGAGTTGCCTTCTGAAGTCTTAGAGGTATATTAGTTTTCCCTTAGGCAAGTTTTATGTGCCATTATTCTATTACTTCATACATGCACACTTTTTTTTTTGGTGGACTGGTCTACTTTAAAACAAAACCCAATACTCAATCTGTATGTAGAGTAGGAAAAGGATGACTATGTGTGCTCTGAAATGGTGGGACACACTTCACTTAACTACTATATTAAATGTTAATTTTACTGATTCAGGAATGGTTCACCTCATCTTTAAATGGACACCTTCCAACTGTTGGGATGTGGGTCCCCAAACCAACAGTCCATAGTACTTGTAGGAGCCACTTCTGCCTCCTTCTGGAGTGATGTTAATGTGGGACATAGAATTGAATGAAGAATGACTGCTATTGTTGGAGCTGAGTCAGCCATACTGTTCATTTATTTCCTAAAGCCTCAGTCTATAGTATAAACATTATGTCAAGCTAGACTGCTGTGAATGAGCACTACACTATATTTATACTTTTATTTGCTTCTTTTTTCCTGTCTTTGTATTTTTCAGTTCAAATAAGCTAATGCAGATTCTTTTTATTATGATTATTATTTTTTGCAGAAAATTGTCACTGTGGCACAAAGGTTGACATAAGTATCTTGGTTGCTCAGAAGCTATTTTAACTCTATATACACTAGCTTTGGTAAGACTTTATGTAGCCCACTCTATGGCAAAAAACAGAAGGATTACAGAGAATAGTTAATGGGGAAAAGCAGAGGGTGTAGAACTTAAACATAAATTAAAATGGCTGTCCCCATTTTGTGTCCTCTGCTGATAACAGTAGAAATTCAGAGAGGGAAAAGTAACACTTTTACAAGATTAAGATTACAAGTAATTTTCTGGTCTAGCAAGATCATAAAGTTTGTCAATACAAAGCTTTCTAAAAATCATCTGTTTTTCCTGAAGCAGTTAAGAAACAAATTTCAGAAGTGATAAGAAAAGGAATTATGTCAACCCTTTTAAAGGCACTGACTATAGTTTGTGCAAGATGTCTATTTCCTCGCTTCCCAGAGTTCTAAATCTGCAAGAGACCGCTATCTTGCAGTCTCCTGTGAGGAGCAATTGTCTGGACTCTGGAGCACTTGTGGGCAATCTCAAGTCCTCTCCTTGTCCTGAGAGGAATTATCAAAGAGATGTCCAGTGTTTCATTCCACTGTGGCTGTTAGCTCCACTTTTTGTGGTGTCATTTTCAGTTTGCTGTTTCTTTCCCAGAAGTCTTATTTATTATTTTTAAATATGATTTTAATACATTTCAAAAACATTAAAATTTATTTTATTAAAAAAAACCTTAGTTGCTAAACTAAATAACTAAGTAATTAAACTAACTAATAAACTACCGTGTTTCTCATATAATAAGGCCGGGTCTTATTTTTTTTTTGAGCCCCGAAAAAATGGCTAGGTCGTCTTTTCGGGGGTGACTTAATTCCCCCCCCCCCTTGCATCTTCGGGCGGGCAGGCGGTGACAGCTTGGATGTTGACCTCAGCATTGGTGGGGCACTTCATATCGGGGTCAATGCAGGCAGCACCATATCCGGGTGTGCAACAAAAGTACTTCCTAACGGCAAGCCCCCCCACCATTCCCCCCCATTTCGCATGTTTTAATATAGGCCTTAATTTGGGGGAGGGGTTTAATTTCATTTCATGCCTATAAAACATGCTGGGACTTCCTATGGGGGGGGAGGCCGTATTGTTGGAGAAACAGGGTAGTTGCTAGTTTACAATATTGTGTAACAATTATAACTACGTATATTATTAATGAATGGAGGTCTATTGTATGTTATTATGTAAAATAAACACAAAGAGCTAAATATGAATTATAAACTGTACAGAGAACTACCATATGTAGTGAAAAAAAGGGGAGAAGCAATTCTAAACTACCTAAGGAAAGGAAAACAAAAGTAACTGCCTGAAAAGGAAAAAGAAAAAAATTAAACAAGAAATGTGAAGAACACTAAAAACAAAAACCTACACCTACTTTGTATCTAATTCTTACTGGGGGGGGGGGGGAGTTGAATAACAAAGAAAACAATGTATCAGGCTACGGAAATTATATAACTTTCTTTAATTTCAACAGCATGGTCCAATTTTTAAATAATGAATTAAACCTAGACCTTATACAGGTAGTCCTCAATTTACAGCCATTTGTTTAACAATGATTCAAAGTTATGACATCCTTGAAAAAAGTGACTTATGAGATATAGTTGCAGTTATGACTGTCACACCAACCCTGTGGTCACTTGATTTTAATTCATGTATTTGGCAACATGATCAGATGCAGCATCCTTAATCACGATCATGATTTCTGGGGTGTTGTTTTTTTGCTTATTTTCAGCAAACAAAAAACAAAAAACCATTGGGGAAGCTGGATTTTTTTAACGACCGCATGATTGCCATAAAATTGGATCTAATTTTTATAAGAAATTCTGGTCACAACTGTGGTTATAAGTCAAGGATTAACTATACAATAATATTATCTAGCTAATTCAAAGGCTGAGTGTTGACACTTTTATTAAACCAACGTATAAAGTCTCAGGAATAGATACTCTTCTTTTACATCAGTCCAAGCTTGATATACTGTAGCAAAAAAATAACCAATAAAAAATTACAAATGAGCATACCCCTAGCATATGTACCAAAGTAATCTTTGAATAAGAATAAGTAAAATTCGTATGTCTACAGAGATTCTCAGTCAACCAGGTCATGGTTGTCCCAAAGGTATTTTTTCAAGAGGCAACTGGACTTTCTCATTAACTAGGAAGCCAAGTTGCCTCTTGAAAAAGCACCTTTGCGACAAGTTAAATTCTTGTGTCTTGTTCTCTGTTTATTCTGAGGTCAGAGAAGAATACCTTTTTAACAGCTTAACCATCTGTTGTGGTTTCCACTTGTGCTGCATCCTGAGACTAAAATGGAAGAATCTAACTGGTTTTGCTGTTTTGGTTCCTCTGCAGCTGCTCAGAAGAAGTCTATGATAGGACAAGCCCAGCTCAGCCCATCATCCACTGGCACTGGAGCTGCAGAGTCAGCGGTAGAGACGCGAATGACGGCAATGCAAATCACAAGAGATTTGCTTCGGAGCAAAGGCATTGCAGGACTGTATAAAGGACTTGGAGCCACATTGCTCAGGTTGGCATTTTTTTCCAGATCCACACACAACCATTTCAGTGGCATGTGTGTTTAAGTAAAAGGTCCTAATTCCTGCCTTTCAGCACAGCCACTTGGCTCTAACCCTGTTCAAAAGAAATCATGTGTTTCTATCAGAAATGTTGTATTTATTATTTCTGAGGTATTTCTAAAATTATGTTAAGAATCACTATTGCTTGCTGCTGATTTGGTTAGTCTCAGAAGATTTTTTTTGCGTGTAAATTGGAAGCAATAATATATTCTAGGAGAGAAGAGGCTTGGCTGGAAAGGGGTGAATCTAAATGAGCACCATGACCTTCTCTTGAGTGTTCATTCAGTCTGGAAGACCAAAAACTTGCCAGGGATGCTCTGTGGAGTAGCTTTATGGAGCTAAATGCAAGTATAAAGTGAGAAACAGAACTACTTTCTCAGTGCACACATCAGATAGTTATAATGAACATGTGTGTGGCCAACTAGTGCTATTATAGGACAGAAAGAAACAGCTTTTCAGAAATCCCACTCTTTGTGTGCCTCTCCTCTTGTAGGGATGTCCCATTTTCCGTTGTTTATTTTCCACTGTTTGCCAATCTGAACAAACTGGGGCAGAAGAGCCCTGAAGTCAAGGCTCCTTTCTATGTCTCCTTCCTATCTGGATGTGCGGCAGGCAGCACAGCAGCCGTAGCTGTCAATCCTTGTGATGGTAAGTACTTTTATAGCATTTATTGGGGTGTGGGGACAGGAAGAGCCATCAACAATGCTGGCTATGGATGCTGAGGGAAACAACCAAAATAAAACCAAAACAGTAAAACAGACATTTAAAAACTATAATTAAAATAAGCCCTAAGTTTTTGGAATATTTTAAATTAAAATTAATTCCCACACATCAAAGGCAAATTTGGAAGAAAAAAACTTGTCCTTATTGGCAGATGAACATCAGAATTCTGCTCTGTTAATTCTGCCTGCACAGCAGAATTCTGATGTTCATTTGCTAATGAGGACAAGATTATTGGGATAATTTATTCTCTGCTGCTGTTCTCGAGAAAAGCTAAGAACCAGCTAAGGCAGTCCATGTGTAACAAAGGGTTAACTCCAGGCCATCTGAAAGCTCCACGTGACTTCCTCTGAAGCATCAGAGATTTCTTAAGGAGTTGGCTTACATGTGTTAAAGTGTATACCTCTCATGAATCTTCCATTCGGATACAGTTTACTTCACAAAATTTAGATTACAAATGGTTAGTCTTTTGATGTAACCCAGAAAAGATGTACCAGCCATGAATATTAATTTAGATGTAACCCTAACCCTAGATTCATTTCTATTGGAAATTCAATTTTCTCATATATTTTGCTGGCAATCACAAACTATTCCAAAGGAAAAGCTATCACCATCTTTTCCCTTAGAAAATGTCTAAGAATATATCCTTAAGAATACTACACAGCCATGACTCCAAGTAGACCTAATCTGAACCCTAACCCTATTTTCATTTTGATTAGCAAAGAGATTTTTGAGTGTATTTTATTATAATCCAGAAGCAACACCGAATAAAAAGGTTTCACAGTCTCTGATCTTGCTAAGAATCTATGCCTACATTAGTTTTTGGGCATGATTCCAAGTAGACATAACCCTAACTCTAACCGTAACTGTAGATTCATTTTTATTGGCAATTAATATTCCCATGTATTTTACTGTGGTCCACAAACAATTTTCAACAAAAAGCTGAAACTGTTACTTTTCTTAGAAAACTGCTAAGAATATACAATTTCCCTAACAATACTTTTCGACAATGACTTCAAGTAGACCTAACTCTAACCTGAGATTCATTGGCAATGGGATTTTCTCATGTATTTTTTACTGTGGTCCACAAACTACTCCAAAAGAAAAGCTATCAACATCGCTTTCTTTAGAAAACACCTAAGAATCCAGCCCTTAATTATTTTTTTGCCATGAGACCTAACCCTAACCCTAGATTAATTTTTCTTGGCAATGGGATTTTCCTATGTAATTTACTGTAGTCCACAAACCCTAACAAAAAGCTATCAACTTTCCTTGGAAAAGTTCTAAGAAACTATCCCTAGCATTATTATTTTTTGCCATGAATCCAAGTAGACCTAACCCTAACCCTAACCCTAGTTTCATTGGCAGTGGAGTTTTCCCATGTATTTTACTGTGGTTCAGAATCAAATCAAAAAGAAAATCTGTCAATGTTGTTTCTTTAGAAAACCTCTCAGAATCTATCCCTATCATTACTTTTTGGGCATTACTCCAAATGAAAAGCTACCAACATCGCTTTGCTTAGAAAACCTCTAAGAATGTATCCCTAACATTAATTATTAGCCATGTCTCTCAGCAGACCAAACCCTAGTCCTAAACCTAATTCTAACCCTAACCTAGATTCATTTTGATTGGCAATGGGATTTTCCCTTGTATTTTACTGTAGTTCACAAATAACTCTGAACAAAAAGTTGTCACCAGCTCTTTTCTTGGAAAAATGCTAAGAATATTCCCTATTAATACTTTTCAGCCATTACTCCAAGTAGACCTAACCCTAACCTTAGTTTCATTTTCTTCAGCAATGGGATATTTCCATGTATTTTATTGTGGTTCACAAACAGTTCTTCCCATTGAAAAACTCTGAGTGTTAGGGTCTGAAAGCTCTCACCCCTTCTTTTATTTTTACTTTACAGGGAAGTAGGGAGGGTACCTTCTGAAATGGTCCCCAGTCCTCTTTTCCTTTTGCTGGCTGAGATACATTTACATGAGGATATCTAGGCTCAACGCTTCCTTCTGTCTCCCAAAGTCATTCACACAGCCCATTATCCAAATTCCTCATTGTCAAATAATGTATGATTAGTTCTAAGAAGAATGTTCTAAATCAAGATTAAATATTGATATGTTCTTGAAGTTAGAATTGATAAGATCTTTTCCAGTACAGCTTTGATAGATTGAATAGAAGTATCTGTAACAATTGAAAAACTTGCAAAAAATAACTTGATACAAATTAAGGCACTGATTATAACAAACTCTACTACTATATATTTCTGCAGTAATCAAGACAAGACTTCAGTCCTTGCAGAGAGGAGTCAATGAGGACACATATTCAGGGATAATAGACTGTGCCAGGTAAATTATCTCTGTCTGAAGGATGTTGTTAATGAGTAGTTAACAGAGGATTAGCAATGGAAGGATGGGATCTTGAGAGTGGTTGGCATAAAACTTGCTACTGCTTCAACAAGCAATCATAGAGTGACCCAACTATGGCAAAACAACAACAACAACAACCCTATGGTGATGTCCTCCACATTACAACTGGTCCAAGAGAAAATCAGATTTAATATGTTATCCTTGTTGTCTGTTAAGACCTCAATGACTTGGGTCAGGTCCATAGTTACCATGATGATCCTTAACCACCCCATACTCTGTGTCACACACAAGAAGTTAAACCCCAAGAACTAGCAGCCACAGAGATTGAATGGCTAACTCATCAATAGAATTCAGGCAGAATTCTTGCTACAAGTATGAATTCCAGTACAACAGCAACAAACCCAAGGGCTCTCTAAAGCCCATCTTGAAGGGGTTTATATCTGATTATCTCCAGAGCAGAGGTTCTGAAAGCTTTCAAGACCTCCTGGATTGAAACTGTTACCCCCAACCCCCATCCCATTTCATGGCTGGTGCCAGACTTGAAACATAGATGGACTCACGTTCAAGAGAGGCACTTCCTCTTCTGGACCCCCTCCCAGGGGAGGTGTGTAAACCTGACGTGTGAAGTGGTTGATTTGATACTGGCTTGGCATGTTTGCCAACTCCAGACAGTGTGGTTTGTGAGCTATAATTTATGGATTAATGCAATGTATTCAACAAACCATTATTAAAACCAATCATGGTTTAACATGATATTTGAAGCCAGTGGTGATTTCATCTCTTTTCTCCGTGTCTTTTTCTAGGAAAATCTGGCGTAATGAAGGTCCCTTAGCCTTTTTTAAGGGAGCATATTGCAGAGCCTTGGTCATTGCCCCACTCTTTGGTATTGCACAAGTTGTCTATTTCATCGGCATTGCTGAATTCTTCCTCGACATGTTTCCACGGCATCAGGATTAACCTCTCACCTTTCTTCTCATCCAATTGGAATTCATCATAGTTATTTTTGTCATTGTGATGTCAGAGCAACGGCAGAAAGGGTTCCAAGCAGTAATAGTGGGAATGAATGTTGTCTCTAAAAGTTATTTTCCTCATAACAACATGGCCCCGAGGAGGGATATCTAAATAGTCATGTCTGTTTTTTAATTATCAATTTTAAAGACACTATTTAACACAGACTGTCTGACTGGCTTGCTGTTCCTCTTGTCTAATGGAAGTTCTTTTCTGGAACTGCCAACAACTCATGAAGGAGCAAAAGAACAGGATGTGTTTCCATGTCTCTATTCTTGGGGTTAAGTCTCTGGGGAAAAGAATCAATTGGTACCCAATAAAAGGGAGGTTACTTGACCCAGGCAATTACTGAGAACAAAGTATTTGTTTTTAGATGGGTCTCCTAAACATCCCTTCTCCAAATTAGCTGGACTTAAATAAACTTTTGAATATGAAGAGAGGGCAAAGGGAAAGCTGCATCTTAATGTTTTCATTTTATGAAAGGATCACCTTCATAATAGATCCGTGTGGGGAAAATGTACTCGGGATAACTGTGCATTTGCCCTCTGAAACCTCATCTATTGGAAACGTCCAGGGTCATGAATTATCTGTGAGCTATGACAGTTGGGGGGAACCAAATTATTTGAGTTAATGGTTTTTTTAAAAAATGTGCTGGATAAAACTCCAGTAACGTAAATACTCCTCTTTCAACCTGAGATGCTGCTCTCCGTGCTACTTTTCACCCCATCCTAGGTTTCACATGTCTGTGTCTTTTAACCTGTGTATAGAATGTGTTTATTGCTCCCTTATTTTTGTTTGGGATCATAGTAAGACCAAAGGCAACTGAACTCTCTTATGGTTGGTCAATGCTACAAAAGAACTGGTGGAACAGAGCATGGCGGAGGAAAACCTTGTATGTTTCTTTAGACACACCAAAATCAAAGAAGTTTAACCTATTTTATACCAGCAGGTTATCATTTTTCCCCTGAACAACAAATTGCATTTTTCAGATGCAGTTTTTATTGTAAAGGGGAAGTTTGCATGTTTATTACTTTCATAAAGTCATCCATGCATATATGTTCTCATTTCAAGCTGTTTTTTTTTGTTTTTCCCTTACATTTGCTGTTTCAGTGGAAAAAGCCATTCTAATATTGGCTGTATATTTTTTTTTGTTCTTGGCTTTGGTTAGTTCAGTCAGCTGCTTTTCTTTGAATATCCTTTTTGAATATCCAACATTGGGGGACACATTTTTTAAAAACAAAATATTTCTCTTTAAAAATTACAACACTTTTAGTCTTAGGGGACAGAAGATCTAATTTTTGGCATGTTTTTGCTTACATTTTGGACTTCATGTCTCTGTAGATTGCTTTAATTGCTAGTATCTTCATGCCATTCTGTAGAAAGCATTTTTATAGATAGTTGTCTTCTCTATTCAGAAATGTTTTGGATTCCAAATCAGAATGTTAACTATGTTCACATCCCTTATGAGTAATAAGGATTTTTTAAAAATGTGTCATTAATTTTTCTACTTGCTCTTTCAAATTCAATGTAAAACCATGTCTATTTTGGAAAATTAGTTTTAGGGTTGCAAATGGACAAAATAACTGTGGGGCAGTAAGACTGGTTTAGAATAGAAGCTATATTTAATAATTTGTTTCATGACACACATATTTTTCTTTAAGTCCTTTTATAAGCATTTAATCATGGTTTAAAACTTCTTTTGCTATATTTCTTTCACCCAGCTAATCAGACATCACTTTAAAAAAAACAAAAAGAACGCCTTAAGGTTTCATTGTTAAATCAAAAAATATAATGGCACATATTTTAATTCATTGCAACAATATATTTTGATATTTTTGAAACAGAAATTAAGCAAAATTTTGGGTTTTTAGGAAGCACAAAATTAGGATTAGTTGATGCACTTCAATACATAAAGTTTAGATCCGTTTTAATTAACCATTTGGTTAAATTTAAACTTTAAAAATATGATTGTCATTTTTTTTAAAAAAAAGAATCAAATGTTTAATGTCCTCTACAATAGTGTCTACAAGATTAATAGTCTGAGATTCTATTTTAATTCCAAGTAAACCTTTGCTTGGGTAAAAGCTTGGATAAAGAAAATTATTTATACCTCAACTAGGGCCAGATTAAAAAAAATTGCCACTAGATTGCATCTGCATGCTTTATCAGGCAGATTTCCTGCTGAGTTGTGGGTTAGCAGTACTGCTGGAAAAGGAGAAAAAGCACTATTTTGGGACAAGGAAAACTTTACCATGACCAGATGTAGTAAAATAAGGTGTCACTGTTTCACAGGCCTTCCTGTTATCTAGCAATGTAACAATTAACACTAATATTTGAAAGGCATGCTTAAGCTGCAGAGACAATCTAATTGCAGTGTAATTAATGTTTGTCTGAATGCTTGTCAGAGGGCCTTGTGGCTCCATGGGGCCAGAGTTAGCTGGGTTCTTTTCTTGTAGGGAAATTATGAATCACTGCGGTATTGACAGAGTTACCTAGGTTTCCAAAGGTTTACTCGCAAGTGCTCACTTTAAAAAGAAACCCTTACAATGTGACTTCAAGCATATTTTAAGTTGTAGAAGTTTTTCATCTTGTTTTAACAGATTTGAGTTTTTCTACTTAAGGTCCAAGAGCTTTGACCAGCTTCTTGTGGCCTGTGGTGACTTTTGCACATTCCATGTAACACAGTTGTATTTAGGATAATCTTGATAAAGCAAAAAGATTGAACTGACAATGAATTGCTTGTATTATTTTTAAATATGTGGTTCTATGTGCTATTTAGCGTGCGAAGACCAACACCGGCTAAAGTTTGCAATGAAAGTAAGATGATGTCCATAGGTGAACTGTTCCTTATTTTTATACAGTGAGCTTTCCATTGCTTTTCTTTATCAATCTGTATTTCAGTCTTTGCATGAAAGCACAAGAACTTGTTGGCAAATAAAAGCTTTCTTAATTGCATGTTTGGAAGAAGATGTGCTGGAGATGAGATCTAAAAATGGCCACTTGGTACAGTAGGGTTGGGGACTGCCCTAGAAGAACACTGTGTAGGTCCTGACTCTGGCAATATCCACCTAGAGTTTGGGTGGTGATGATAATTAGGGAGGGAAGTTGAGAACTGATGTTCATTAAACTGAGGTGGAATAGAAGTTAATGGTGCTGGTTTTTAATAGAATGTGGATGTGATTTTGAACTTTTTTTGCTTTTACTTTGGACATATTATGGAAGACAACATGCACAACAGAAAATGCATATATACTGGTCTACATAAACTTGTTATCTAATACATGATATCACACTTTATATTGTTCCCCACCAGTGTAATATCATATAAAGCTCAGTCCTAGGTTTAATCATGTGCTAGTTAGTTGTTGTCATTTTTTAAATTGTCTCTGACAGCATTTTTGTCTGTACTCACAGGGCACAAGTAACACGTCTTAGCCACTGCATGCTAACAGAGAAGCAAGAAATTTTCAGTACTACATTTCATTTACTAAATATGAATTAACTATTCTAGGTCTTGTACACAAGAGCTCAGAAAGGACTCTGGTTGACTAAATAATAGTACCATGATTAAACATGATAATAGCAAACATAGGCTATTTGGTGATCCTTTCTCAAGTTCTAAAAATATAATGCTATTTACTTAAAAGGGGTATTCTGGATTAAACATGATAATTTAAAAAGCTGACTCGGGGTGGGGTGTCCAGAAAAATGTCTCCTTTTGTTACACTTCAGATCTCTTCTCTGAATGCAAATCTAACATTAACTGCCATTATTAATATCTTAACAAATCTCAGTTTAAACCTGGTTCTATGGGGGAATATAGTGGGTGACATTAACTGGGAAAGGGCATCACAGGGTGACTTTTGTGTCCTTTTGAATAAAACCTATTTCATGATTGTTACCACCCAGATACTCATTTAAGGGCATTCATTTTGTTAGTACTTCAAAATATTTTAAAATAAGACTAAAGGGATAGACTCTCCTGTTAATTATTATGTAAGCTAAAGCAAACATACATTATTTACTCTGTGAGTTCCTACTGAAATCTTTTGCATTAGGAAAGCTGAAGATAACAAAATAATAAAATTTGATTCTACTCTTCCCATCTATTTTTGCCACAAAATATTATTAAGCAACATTTGAATACAGATAAAACCATCTTGTAAACAAAGCAAATGGATAAATACAATCAAAAATCCATTTGTGTCATGTTTTCTGGAATTATTTCTGAATTTAAAGCTAAAACTCTCTCGTGCTTCAAATATATATTATTAAAAGATACATTTACTGAATGCCTTTTCTTAAAACTCAGGTCTTGCTTTAACATTATTTTTTAAAATTAGGAAACAATTCTAGCTTTTATTTCTCTCACAAATATGTAGTAACTCCTATATGTAACATTCTGTCAAAAGTCTTATGTGTGAAAGTCAGAGTTTAGACTTCATGTCTTAACAGTATAATTTTTAGAGGTAGATATACTGTATTACAGCCATTATAGCCGAGTGGTATCTTTTTCATGTGCAGCTTTGTCTTCCCACCATGTTAGATGGGAAAATAGTCTAATACTTTCATATCCTTCTTTGCAAGTGCTTATGGTTCTGAAGTCAAGAAGAGAGAGTATTTGTCCCGAGCAACCTGCATCCACAGGGTAGGATATACTGTAAGCACTGGATAAACTGATAAGATGGAGGGTGATTCCTGCTTTGAGCTTTGAGCCAAAGAGCCTATAGAGTGGACAAAGACTTCCAGCTCACTTTCTCTGTTTCAAAATTAATAAATAATGGAATACATTTGTTTCTGGGTTGATTTGAAAGACTTTCTGAATGTTTTGCTATTAAATCCATCTGTTATTGTAAAATCAGTACAGTTCATTGATTCCTCCTACCATCAGATCTTCTGGAGCTATAATGAATTTATAAATTAGATTCTGAGGTAGACCTGATACTTCCCCCTCCCCAAATCAAAATTTCTGCTATAAAATCAGATGTAATGTTAATTAGGAAATGCAAATTTCCCCTGATCAAATTCTGTGCTCTGTGCCATCTCCCCCTCTGTTCCTCCGTTAAGTGAATTTTATCAATCATTTCTCAATTATGATTTCTTTGAATCTGGGTGTCTACATGCATTGGAAGGTACCTGGCATTCAGGCTTAGATACTTAGAAAAAAAGTGAATCAGAAAAAGGAATATCACACTTAGGTACACCCAGAGGATATCAATATTTCTAGGATCCACATTAATAGCATGATAGTGGTAACATCTAGATCAAGGAAGGAGGTAATTTAAACAATCTCACTGCTGATTTGAACCAAGCTAACAAGGCTAAAAGAGGCAATAACAAAATGAGGAATTTAAAACCAACTCATTTAATCTGATGCAAACTGCATAGACAAAAAGGTGGCACAAAAATAGTATAAATTCATTAAAGTTGGCCATTAAATGTGTGTTTATACTCCTTGCTGCTACACTACTGAAATTTAACTGGTTCCAGAACCATATATAAGATCTTGCTAAGGAGGGGGCTGCCCAGATTTGAATTTCTGCTCTAGACACTGGTGTGATATTAACACAAATATATGATGTCTCTTGTTCCCTTATTTTTCCATTAGGACAGGGATTGCAATAGCATCTGTGGAACCTTAACATTATTAAACAACATTACTAAATTTTGGAAGACTTTGCTATTGAAAGTCTTAAAAGATTTAGAGTAGTTGAATGCAACAGTTCATGCAAGAAAGATACTGGAGTTATCCTGTGAGATCTTGGATATGACAATCATTGAACTTTGCAGATATTTATCATGATTGTAGTATCTTTGTTTATGCACGAGTGCCTTTGTATGAAATAGTGCCTGGAAAAATTTCCAGTTGATACACTTCAAGGTGCAACTTAACATTTTGATGACATTGCTGCTAATGGGAAGGTTAATTTGAATATTATTTTCCCAACGTAATTTATTGAAATCTTTGAGATTTCAATCAATATTTACTATGAAATTCACCCTATTGAGGAGGGGAAAAAATCCAATAGCTATTTGTATTTGATTTACAAAGGCTGCTAATGATTAAGGTGCTATAAGATTCCTTGTCACTTTTACTTCTTCAAAACTTTCTAAGACAGTGCATTCTGCTGGTACTCATTAAGCCATTTGCTGCTATGAAATTGATTGTAATATTTGATATGTATATTACAGCTCTAATTGTTGTATAAATACAAAAAACAGCTAATTAAGCTATTAAGAATCCTGTTAAGTGACTGTGCAGTTGCTTACAATATATTATTATGACATGGAAAGAAAGTAAATACCTAGTGATATTTTTAAAGTATCTATATAATAAGGTTGCAGTTTTCTAGAAACATGGGATCAGTTTGGGGAGATTAACATTTAAATTCCCATTTTTCTGATGAAACCTGCCATATGAGAGTGGGAATTAATATTGTATAGCTTTGTATCATGTCACTGTAACCTTAGAAGGAAGTCAACTGCTTGAACTACTGAGAGTGTGAACAAAATGTAGAATGGAATATGCATTTACCATTTTTAAAAACTCATGTTTCAATCACTCTTTGGTCATTGGTTGTTGCAAATCTTTTGGCCAGTGAATGTGGTTTGAATATAAAATTAAGACATTCTTGAAGTCCATCTGAAAACTTAAATGGCTGTTAAATATGTGAATGATGCTTCATCATTAAAGGGAAGAGACTTAAGAAAATATCTTTCCTTTAATGGAAGAAAAAGGAGACCTTGAAAATCAGTTTACTTTTCATTTTTAAATATGGATTTTCAGTTCCATCTGCTTCCTGTCATAGCCTATTAAGACAACTCAAAGTTACAGCCTGATTCATATTTTGGGGGGGGGGTCTTTGCCTCCTCTACCTGTCCAAGTATTGGTGTCTGAGTGAACTGCAAAGCATTTTTTTTGTCTTCTGCTCCTTGCCATCTTTATAGCATTGCCATGTCCTTCCTCGTAGCCCTGAACAGTATTCCATTACTCAGATAATCTTCCAATTGTCTGTGCACTATGTAATTTACTTACTTCTTCTCTGGCCTTGGATTTTAGAAAAAATAATAATGTTGGTATTCTTTTTCATGCACCTCTTCTGATATTGCTTGTATCATGAATAAGTTTCTAGCCTATTTCATATGAGACGCTTTAAAAGGGGAGCAATGGTGAGATGCATTGTGCTTTTTAAAAAGAACTGGAGGAAAATCGTATAATCTTGTAGCCTCTGCATGTAATAGACTACAGCAATTATCCATAGTCAGAAAGGATATTCACTTGTGCCAATTTTTTGTCTTTAGGATTTTGCATAATTGTTTTTTTAATAAAACATATCAAAACTTTTTAAAAGGGGGAAAAGCTTAGATTTAAATCCATGTCAGAAGACATGTCATTTAGTTTTGCTATAAGAAATGTTAGTTAAATGTCATAATTTTAGGCCAAATATGGCCAAATGCCCACCATCTGTCCCAGTGATAATCCATAGAACTTCCCCAGATATTCCAGTGATCTCCTTAATCCTGTTTATCTATGTTGGCTCCCCTTTCTTCTGCTTCTTTCAGCCTTGCCAAGAACAGTTTTTTAAATAATAATTCACCATATATTTGAATCACATGCCCAGTGCTCAAGTTTCTGCTTCTGATCATTGTCTCAAGGGAACAGTCTTTATTTTCTTTAGAACAGATTTATTGGTTCCCCTTGCTGTCTAGGGTTCTCTCAGTAATAGTCTCCAAATCTATAATTTGAAGGTGTCTATATTCTTTACTTTCAATTCTCAGCTTTAACAGATTAACATATCTTTGGAAAAAACACTGCTGTTCTGCAGTTTAATGGCGTTAGAATATGCTTATCCTTCATGAACTGGTTTAAATTTGTCATTATGTTCTCCTTACAGTTGATTTCTTTTTTACTTCTCCAACACACAATATATCTTTATACATTCTTGAACATAAGACAAAACTATCTCCCGCTATCTCATCTTCCCATAAACAAATAAGTTGTCCAAATATGCAGATTGGCATTACCTTTATGATCTTAATGTTTAATAGTAACCCTGATTGCTTACTTCCTGTTTGTAATTTCATAATATTCTCTTCCATGTCTTCTTTAGTTTCAGCACAACATGGCAGTGCCTGCCTATTTTTAATTTTTATCTCTGTTGTCATCTCTTCTAATCCTGCTACTTGTATTATTTGTTAAACAAGTTCATCAACAGCATTTTTGTCTCAAGCCTGTCCCTACTCAAATTGGCATCATTTTCCAAACTCAGTTTTCAATGAAAAATATGCAGTTAATTCTTTTGCTTTATTCATAAAAGGATAACTTCCAACTTTACATGTATTGGCGGTT